TTTGGTGATTTATACAATACTACAATATTCACGAAAACCAATAATCTAATAGTAGAACTTATCTCAAGACAAAGATTCAACTTATTGATGAATCTAATCTCTAAAGATTTCACATCTATAAGCTATGTATAATTAACTAAATATAGTAATAAAAATAAAGTAAATCTATAAAGTACAAAATAGGAAGCGGATATTCAAATATAGTATAACTAAAATAAAAAGAAAAAAAAATAAAGTAATATGGTTAATAGTTCAGGCTGCAAGATCAATGTATGATCATTATATAACAGAAGCGCAAAAAATTTTTTACATGACAATAGTAATAATCCCCCTTTGATTATCAAGCTTCTGCAAGATTAATGATAGAATACCATCTGGTCTTTATTTTCTTTGAAGATTAAATAATACTTCAAATAGTTTCTATGAACTCTTTGCTTTAGGACTTGATCGTCAAAGGTCTGAAGTTTATAACTACCATTTCTAGTGGTGTCATGAATATAAAAAAGTTCTTTCCATTTTTGCTCTTATTTGCCTTTATGGGTACCTTCAGGGAAGATCGATAACAAAGAACTTTATTACTGATATGATAACTTTTGATAGTATGAAGCTGATCATGTTATTCTTTCTGATACTTTTGAGCTTTAATTGTCTTTTTCTAAGCTTTCATACAGGTCTAAGGTAGATCTTCCAACAAGACTTCGATTCTTTGGAGGATGTTAGCTTGCAAGGCTTGTTTATCTAACAGAGGCAAGTCTGAACTTAGACGAGTAATTTTGATGGATAATAAAGCTCACTGGCTATATAGAAAATAGAATGGGTAATGAAATACTTGGTAATATAATAAGCAAATAAAGCAGAAGAAACGTACGGGTCCTACTCTTCTAAGAACTGTATAGAACACTTGGCCAACACTTCGCAGAGGGTTCGATTAAAATACTTTACCAAAACCGTTCATTTGAGAGTGATAATAGGAAGAAAACTTGTGATTGACCTGTAATTAAACACAGATAGCTTTAACAAGCTTATTGGCAAAATGTTTTTTTTGATCGGATAAGAATTCACAAAGACTTCCATGTTAACAAATAATATCTTTTATAATGAACGAAGCTACTAATACCACAGATGCATCTGGTATAGCATAAGCCTTAGGCCACTTGGTGAGATATTCTGTAATAACAGCAATATAATAATTTCCTCTTTTAGTAAGAAGCAGGAACCAACAAGATCTATTCCAATTCTGTTAAATAGTTGACCGATTTTAATAGAATATAAAAGTTCACAGGTTTAAGATCTTCCTCTATATTGGCAGGCATCACATATTACTTAACGTCTTTATCTATTTGTAGCCAAAAATATTGAATGAAAATTCATTGAAGAATTGATAAGATATTAAAGTATCCCGATAGTAGATTAGAATATATGCTAAAAAGAACAGCAGTGACTTCGTAGGGTAGTAAGACTTTTAAGAATTAATGGGATGACTAACAATATTTTTTGTAAAGTGTTTAGTCAACGACAACAAAATAATGGGTTTGATGTTGTAAAGATTTTTGTTGAGAGGGTTGCAATTTATGTTGATAATTGGGATTACTAAGATATCTGAAGTAGGTTTAATATCAATTGTAATCTATGATAGCGAATAATTGTATAAAAGTAGTTATTAAAGAAAAAAGTGCGAGTTGTAGATACTTAATAATATAAGAGAGAAGTACAGTTAGTCAAAACTGAGAAATTTGAGTCAAATTAGTATAAGAATTTTTATTAGACTTAGATAAATAAATGAAATAGCATTGATAGGCATAATGATTAGACTGTTATAATTATAATACAAAATACGACAAGAAGATTTAGATTTTAGAACCAGTAAATCGACAAACCAGAAAAAACTATTAGTGTTCGAATAGTAACAACCTGGATGATATTTAACTGAAAATTTATACTCTTGTAAAACCAATATCAGCAGCAAGGAGGGCGAGCAGACTTTTTTTCTATTTTATAAAATTTTTGGGTAAGTTGAGTATGTAAGTTAAAAGCTCTGAAATCATCAAAATCCATATTATCTTTTTATATAAAATATCCAGGAACACATTCTAGAGGCTAGATTTTTTTGGTTAAAAATAACCCTTTTAGAGTCCCAAGAACAATAATTTAGTTTTCTGGTTAAATCAGCACTTGAGAGCTCCAAGAACAATAATTTAGTATTCTGGTTAAATTAGTACTTGAAAGCTTCAAGAATAATAATTTAGTATTCTGGTTAATCGATACTTAAAAAGACCATGAACTATGATTTGTTTTCTTGCCTAGCTGGAGTCTCCGAAAACTTAATTTCGATGATGAGCATTTTGCTTTTTATGATACATTTTCATTATATAAAAAATATATTGTATAGCTATTTGACGTTTTTTGCTTTAAAATATATCTAGATAACATTTTAGCTTTCTTGTCTAGTAAGTCTCTGAAATCCATTATTGCTAACTGTATGAGGGTGCAAAGCACTTGAAATGTGATGTGAAGTGGAGCATCTAGTTACCATATTGCTTTCTTGTATAGTTTGAGTCTTCAAAATCCATTCCAATTATGAACAAATAAAGTATAGTAAGTTATCGGGGAGCATTTTTAAGTCAAGCAATATATTGGGAAACATAAAACCCACCAACATGAGCCTGGCAACGGCCAGAAGCAGAAGCAGTAGGCTTCGCACAGAAAGTACAAGAAACGTGTTTTTTGGCTCTCCGATGGCCTTCTTATATACTTAAATTAGATTATATAGGATAAAATTTAAATTTAAAGAAAAGAATATTTAAGGTAATATATATAAATCAGTTAACTATGTATAGATATGGATCTTGTCCAAGATATGGTGATACATTCACAACAAACCAAAAATTCAAGTATCATTTAACTGAAAGAAAGCACCCTTGTGCACTTCGAAATATATTACAAGCAACTGTGCCAGTTTCTAGCTCTGAACCCTTGTCTAATTTAGATTCGCAATTTTAAG